TGAACAAATCACTTGCACAAGAATCCTCCTGAGTCCCTGACTAAACCCGGACCCTGTGGGGGCGGGCGGTGTTTTGCTTTGTTTAAAGGAAGGGGAAATTGTAACATGTGTTGTGTGCCCAGGGAAATGAGCTGAGGGAAAGGGGAAAGTTCACAATTTAGCAGGAGAGCCAAGGGAGGCTTTGGGAGTGAATTCCTTGACAGGGTGGTGCCTGCACAAGAGGAGGTGTTGACTCCGGAGTCGCACAGATAGCTCACCCATTGCTTCCAGGAGAGAAAGCAGCAAATGCGGGTCGAATGCAGGTGGAGCAGGAGACTCCGTGGTGCAAGAGGAAGTCTCTTCCGATTACGTCCCTCAGTGAAATGAGACCATAGAGTGCCAGTGAGGAGAGTGGGCGGTGATAGAGGTCTGAGGAGACCAAAGAAGGCGGAAATAGTCCAAGAGAACAACAGGGTGACCTGACTAGGGAAATGTCACAGGTTGTGGTCATTGGCTTGAGGCCAGTCTCGAACAGTGATGTTTTTCCACAAGCCACAACTAGGAATTCCAGGCCAGATGTGGTTAGCACACATATGAGATTAACCAGAGTTCAGGTTCTGCCCTGAGAAGGACTGAGGGAAAGGCAAGGGTGTTTAGGGTGGGTGCAAGAGGGAGAATTTAATGATGACGCAGGGACTCTAGCTGGGTCAAGAGGAAGGGAAGGGAGACTGTTGGAGGGAGGGGCCTAGAGGAAGTGAGATGGAAAGGTAGCAGGCGGTTGTCAGCGATGTAGGGGCATGCTTGAAATTGAGACTTGGGTGGAAGTACAGAGATTGGTAATGACAAAGTTTACTGGATGCATGATTGGGAAGACTTGGAGGTTAAACTGATTTAAAGAGGATGGGGAAGATCAGGAAATGATGGCAGTGTATACCAAAGAGGAATTGTAAGTGAATTAACTCTTCTTCTTTATCTGTTCTTGCATTTCCCAAATATTCCACAATGAGCATCTTTTACTATGTAAGCAGAAAAAAGGTATTAAGTAAAATCAAAGATATTACTCAAAGGTTGAAAGGAAAAAAACAAACACCTCTTTATTAGTAAGTCAATTACTACTATTTACAAGTATCCAGTCCACAAAATTTATAAAGTTATTCCCGTTCTAGAATTGTACCAATATTTATGTTATGCCCAGATTTCAAGATCCCCAATAGACCACACCAGGGAGCCAGCCGAGTCCGATGCAAAAGCAGAGAGTCTTTTATTATCAAACCCAGGTTTGGCTCCCAGCCTCCACTGACGCAACAGCGAGACGAGAGTGTCCGCCCGTGGGAAAAAAGGGGTTTTTAATAGGGGGGTGGAGTGAGGGGAGGAGAGATGACTGTGGGCCCTGCCGATTGGCCAGGTGCAAGTCGGGTCTTGTTACACAGGATGTGGTCATATCTATGGCGCGCACGTCCCTTGATTGTCATTGGTTAGTTTAAAGAAATCCTGGGCGTGGCTAGCAGAGGCTTGGGCTTCCAGGAAGAAGGTGCTTTCCTGAGCACATGGCTGCTGCCCCAACATGGAGGATACAGGGTAAGATGGAGGGCGTAGTCCTTACCCTGGGGCAAGATGGAGGGCGTAGCCCTCGCCCTTTCAATTTCCAAGCATCTTGCATAGAATCATTTAAAATGAGACCAAATAAAAGATGTGAGTTTCACAGTGCATGTGCTTTGCTTCAGGCAATATCTGTTTTAAAATGCACACATATTAAAATTTATATTTGTGCCTGCATTAAGAAACCCTGAAATGCCCTAGCCAGTTTGGCTTAGTGGATAGAGCGTTGGCCTTCAGTCTGAAGGGTCCCAGGTTCGATTCCAGCCAAGGCCATATGCCCAGGTTGCAGGCTCAATCCCCAGTAGGGGATGTGCAAGAGGCAACCAATCAATGATTCTCTCTCATCATTGATGTTTCTATCTCTCTCTCCCTCACCCTTCATCTCTGAAATCAATAAAGATATTTTTTTAAAAAAAAGAAACCCTGAAATTATTTATGGGATGAGGAGGTAAGGATTGGGCATATGGCAAACAGAAATGGGAGCGAGACTTTACTTGGGTACCTTTTTATGTTTTATTACCTTTGAACAATACAAAGATATTATCTATTCTAAAATAAATTTAAAAGTTAAGAATTAATACAATTGTAAATTTTTAATAGAAAAACTCTTAAAAATCACATATGCAAATTTATGTTAAGAAATGGTTGTTTATATTGACAAATGAATCTTTTTTTAAACAGGGGATTTCCCCTAGTACTTTTCACCAAGGGTTCCACTTTCAAAAATGTAGTTCCTGTTCTAAAATACAAATCTGTCCCTACATTCTTAACACAACCTTAGAAGAAAACTGCAGACTTTTGACAAGACCCATACCGCACCAGAAAAGTTAAATAACTTATTGCTTACAGTATATACCTCCTCAGAGGATAATTATACTTGGTTGGTGTGGCTCCAGAGTTTAGAATGAGAACCAGTGGTTTTAAGTCCATTCTAAGGAGGTAGATTCAAGTCTAACAGAGAAAAGAACGATGACAGCTGTCCTACGGTGAAAAACCAGGTGGCAGGATTGCAGAGCAGTAGATACACAGGATTGCAAACCCTTCACTAACAGCTGTGAGAATTCAACAAGTCACTCAACACTCGGAAGGCTGGACCACAGGGTTTCTAGAGTTTTTTAAGCTCCCAAATCCATGACTCTGCATATGATGCGAGTCCCCGCTGCTGGAAGAGTGAGAGGTGAAGGAGGATTGGCAACCCTGTCATGGGTGAGAGGATGGATTGGAGCAGGTTTCAAATAGATTAACCACGGGCACCAGACAATAAATCTGAGGGCCTCCAGCCAAGGACCCTCATCCATGCTACATTAAAAAGTTCAATGGATGGGCACACAATGCAGTATACAGATCATGTATCATAGACATGTTCACTTGAAACCTGTATAATCTTATTAACCAATGTCACCCCAATTAGTTTAATTTTTTAAAAAGTTCAACACTTTTGTAAACATCAGGATGTGAGCACAGAGTCTGTGTAGCAGAACTCAAATGCATATAAAGTGGTCATACAGAAGAGCCAGGATGCACTTCTATTATTGTTTCTTCATTATCACCAAAAAGGAATGACAACATTTAAAATGATGGTGGAGGACTCAAAGACCCTGAGAAGAAAGCCACAAACACCTGTGACCCAAGAATTCCAGGCTGAGAACAGTTTGACTAAATCACTCAGGCAGCATCTGACCTGGAAGACTGTAAGGTAGATGTGGCACAAAAGTCATCTCTAGAATGAGCTAAGCTTCTAATTTGATTGGCCTCAGTGGAGACTTGATCATTGATCAAGGGCTGTTATTCACCAGCATTTACCACTGGATTGTACTGGTCAGTGTCTATTCTGATTGGCCAGTACCCACAGTGCACCAGTTGCTTATATATTTCAATTACCTGAGCATTGGCCGGGAGATAATGTATTACTAAGGGGGAATCCCCTAGATATCATACCTGCCCATCACCACGGTAAGTCCCTGAAGTAGCCCCACAGGTAAACCCCAAATGTGTCCAATGAGGGAGACTTCATAAGCAGTGTTTTGTCTATCTGGACGCACAGCCAGGAGTTGGCCTTGTTGCTGCGGGGACATTGTGAGCCAGTGAGGGAAGAGCCAGCTTTTCACTCAGAGGATGGCAGTAGGTATTGCTAGTGTTGATTTGCAGCTACAAGTAGCTGGAATTAGATGCAAAGGAACTCAGATTCTGCTATTTTCATTTGCGTTACTACCAAAGACTCTGAATCTAAAGGCCTTATATGCACAGCAGCACAATTACATTTTATATATATATATATATATATAGTGTGTGTGTGTATATATATATATATATATATATGACATATAGGTGTCTCTATTTAGCTATCTATGTAGTTAAATAGATAACTAAATAGATAGCCATTAAATCTAAGAATATATACAGGATGGGGCAAAAGGTTTACAACCTACTTTTACTCCACCCTGTATGTATGCATATATATATATCTTAATCCTCCCAACAGATAATATTTTCTTTACTTTATAGATAAGGCTCAAAAACTAGCTTGAGTTAGTGTCAGAGCAAGGGCGTCACAGGGCATCACAAACCTAAAGCTTCTATCCCCAACTCTCTGCTCTGCTCTGTGCCACACCATGCTTCCCTTGTAGAGGAGGACTGGTAAGTGGCCAATAGCTGTGCATATGCAACTGAACAAAGACTGTAACCACCAGCTGTTCCTCTGACATGTATGAACCACAGTTTTAGAAGACCATCCTGACATATGGGTTCCTTTGCCAAGCTACATTCAAATCCACGTGATTACTAGCTACATTAACAAGGTTCTCATGACCATTTCTCCTAGAAAGTTCACCATAAATGAATTTGACTATAAAATCAGACAGCATTGAGAATGTTCTTCATTCCCCCACGTCTTTCATGAGCCTCTGCATATCCAAGGGGCCATTCATAAAGCCCCGCTATGTCCCATGACTGCTCAGCTCACTTCCATGGGAAATAGAATCACATAAACAATAGCCGGCTGGAAGGCTGCAGCACGTTGCCCTGCCTCCTGGGACCGCAGCTTCCTCATCTATAAACGAAGGTCTTAACCGCAGTACTTTCCATCTCCCTCTTTCCAAGAATTAAAAAAGAGAAATTCCTCTTGAAATTGAAAACAGAGTTCACATACATAAAAATGTTCAAAACCTTAATTTTAGAACCGTCAAGGCTTCCATACAGAGCCACCTATCCACAGGCAGACACCTCTCTGGCCAAGAAGGGGCAACAGTCCCTGTGAACAGCGTGAGTCCCCCAAGCTGCTCCTCTCCACTTCCTTTGGCTGGAAGAGCCAAGTGTGTTAGTGCAGCT